CACAGGCCCAAAGGCAGTCCAGACATTCGCCCAAGTCCACTGACATAGAGTCCAGCTCACGGCAACCGTTTGGGTCAGAGGAGGGCTGACCTTGGAGGCTGCCAGAGCTGTGGAGGCTTACGGAAGCAGACGGCCTTGTCTGTCTTTCTGGGAGCAGTTGGTGGCCTCTTGGTCAGCAGTGCTGTGCTTAACCCACTGCACCACCAGCTCTCCTCCCACTAGAGCTGCATCCACAAAGCAACGGGCCGTGGAGAGCAATGTGAGCCATCTGCATCAAACCCAGAGGAAATTCTCAATGACCAGAGTGGAAAGCTGAGAGGCTGTAGGGAGCAGATGGCCCTCTGAGGGGAGGTCTCCTTTTTGGACAGGATGTGAGTTTAGCTGCTGGCGGTGCTAGTTGCTAACGACCGAGAAAAGTGATGATTCTTTTTCTTTTTTAGAATCAGCAATGTCAGGGGGGACACGGCAGTGGGGGGGGGGGTGTCTGTTTGCCAGCTGGAGGATTGGAGGAGGTGCTGAGAAGCCCAAGCCCACGCAAGCTGTGGCACGGAGGGGCCTTGATGCTACCCCTCACGTCCGCTTTTCCCACTGGCCTGGGGTGGCGGTCACACTCCCCAAAGGCTGAAGAGCCTGCTTCTTCCTCATTTTGAATGGGAACCCTTCACATATCTGGAGACTTGAGGAAGTGGCTCGTGTACTCTCCACACTCCCCAGGAAATGTAATAAGTTATTATTACTCTGGTGAGCGGAAACGGTCGTTTTTGCAGTCTGTTCATCCTGCCACTTGGAAACCTGGCAGCTCTCAGATTTGGTCTAGGGGTGAGGGTACAGCCTGAGCTGGGGGGAGGGGTGCATAAGAGACAGTAGGCGAGAGGAAGGGAGAGCAATGGCTATTGTCTCGGGCAATAGCACCCCACTGGGAAAATGTTCAAAAACAGGTAAACAATATTTACGAGCTAAGGGTCCACAGGAACCATGTTTCTTTCAGGGGTAGGGCACAGGTGACACTTCTGAGACCAGGGTGGGAAGACAGGCCTGTTGAAGCACAAATACTAATGGTGCCCTTGGTTCTGACTCCCAGGCACCCCACGGAGCAGGGTAGAGCTGCCCTCTAGGCTTTTCCCCAACACCTTCTTGGGGAGAGTGACTCTCTTCTGTCAGGGGCTATGCACTGGCATTGTCTCATCAGCAATGGGGGAGACCACCAGCCTTTTCTTCTAAGGAGTTGTTTGTGGGCTCGCACTGCCAATTTGGGGGTAGACCAGACCTCCTTACAAATTGAAATAAAAGAGTCTGCACTTGTTGAAGACAGTGCTTCCTGACTCCAGGCTTCTCTTGGTTTTGGGCAACGTGTAGCTGTGGATGCTTGCTCTCTGAAAAGTGTGCCCCAATAGGGGCAGGCTGTGCCTCTGAGAGGCCACTTCGAGAGGGCCTCCTCTAGTGCCCCGGTTTCCTGGAAGGAGCTCAGCAGAAACTCAGGCCCAGCCCCATCTCCAGCCCGAGGGCAGAGAAAATGAACCAGTACCTGGAAACCATGAAGGACCAGGATTGCCTCTCTCCTTCCATCGCTGCCCTGGATGATTCCAGCTTGCTGTGTGGGCCGCACTGTGTTCTCCAGAAACAAGTGTTGCCACGTCTCACCTGTATGCCTGTGGCCAACTCCTATTTGGGAACAGGTGGCCTTTGTTATGTTAATGAGGCAGGATTGGTGTGGGTGTACTGTACGCAATGAGGCAGGATTCATGTAGGATGTAACGTACACTCCTAACGTATTATGAGGCAGATTAGTGTAGCGTGCCCTCAGTGGAGGGGGCACTGTCTGTAATGGGGAAAGCCTAGTACAGGGTGTACTTAGTGTAGCGTGTACTGTATAGGACGAGGCAGGATTCGTGTAGGGTGCACTGTATGCCGTGAGGTGGGATTAGTATAGGGTTTACTGCTATTATTATTGTGAGTCTTCCGGTTGCTTCCAGCATACAGTGACCCTGAGTATAACAGAAAGGAATTCTGCCCCATGCCACCCATAGTTACTATCATTGCTAGCTTGGCAGCCACGGCGGTAGCCACTGTGTGGATTCATCTTGCTGAGAGTCTGCCTCTTTTCCTGACCCTCTACTTTCCCCAGGACGGGACCCTACTGATGACATGTCCAAAGCGGGTGAGATGGAGTCTTGTTAGCCTCGCTTCTATGACACCTTCTGGCCGTGAGTTTTCCAAGACCATCTTCGGGCAGTGCATGGTATTTTCTGCATTCTTTGTCAATCCCATAACTCAAAGGCATCAAGTCTTCTTCGGTTTTCCTTATTCCTTATGAGGCAGTGTGGTGGTTAGATTTTATGTCAACTTGAACCTTTGTGAAGCTGTAGGTGTAGAGTCCAACCTGTCCATCAGTTCAGTCTGATGATGCCTCCTTGGGGGTGAAGCCTTTTCTAAAAAAGAGACAGTAAGAACTTCTTTCTCTGCCTCTCCCTGCCTGCTGGTATTCTGCACGTGGGAGTCAACCTGGGAGCTGCCAGCACCCGGCCATGTCCATCAACCTGGGATCCACTGGACTCTGCACCCACCAGCCTATGATCTCCCTGTTTCCTGATTCACCTTTCTGCATCATCAGTTCATAGCTACATGAGTCTGAAGAAGGATCAAACTAGCACTGGAGCCAGGACTTGAAATCCCCCGCCCAACCCAGACAATCGAATAGACCATAGTTTGGCCCAGGAACGCCTTCATTCTCAACATGACGTGTGCGCTTCACGACGTTCAAGAGACCCTTTGAAAAAGATGCACCCAATGTGATCCATTGTTTGATTTCTGTACTGCTGCTTCCATAGTCATTGATTGCAGATCAGGGTAAAATAAAATCCTCGAAAACGTCAACATTTTCTCCATGTAGCATGATATTGCTTATCGGTCCAGTTGTAAACTTTTTTTTCCCTTTATATTGAGATGTGATCTATATCAAAGGTTGTCACCTTGGATCTCATCACTTTCTGTAAGCCAGGTTGTCTCCTCTGCATACGAAAAGGTATGAATGAGTCTTCCCCAATCTGGAGACTGCGTTCTTCTTCAGGTAGTCTAGCTTCTCAAATTTATTTTTCGTAGCATACAGACTGAATCAGTAAGGTGAAAGGCTATAACGCATACACCCACGTTTTTTTCCTGAATTTAAACCATACAGCAGCCACTCATTTTGTTCACACAACTGCCTTTTGGTCCAGGTCCAGGTTCTGCAGGAGCACAATGAAATGTTCTGGAATTCTCATTCTTCATAATATGATCCATAGTTTGTTATGATCCACATAATGCCTTGTACAGTTAATGAAACAGATTTCTTTCTGGTAGTCTCTGCTTTCAGTCAAGATCTATCTGACAAGAGCAATGGTATCCCTTGTTCTACATCCCTTTCTGATTCTGGTTTGGATTTCTAGCCCTTAGTTCCCTGTCAGTGTAAGTACTTCAATCTCTTTTTTAATTATCTCCAGCAAATTTCTGCTTGAATGTGATAATCAAGTTATTGCTTGATAATTTCTGCATTCCATAGGATCACCTCTCTTTGAAATGGGCACACACTTAAAAAACGGATCTCTTCCAATCAGTTAACCATGCAGTGGTTTGCCAATTTTAAGAAACAGAACCTGTTTTTTGGTCAAGGTCTTCAGTGTAGTAGCTTCTACTTCCTCCTTTGTCGCCATCAGCTCTTGATCAGACATGCATTACCTCTTGAGATGCTTGAACACTGACTGCTAATTCTCAGTACAGTGACTCTGTGCACTCCTTCCACCGCCTTTGATGCTTCCTGCACTGCTCGCCATTCCACTTTGCCCAAAGAATCCTTCCATCTTGCATCTCAAGGCTTGTATGTTTTTTTTTTCTTCTCCTTCAGTTCTTTGAGCTTGACAAATGCCAAGTGTGTCCTTCCCTGTTGGCTTTCTGACGCCAGGTCTTGGCACATCTCATCACAGTATTTTACTTTGTCTTTTCCAGCCACTCTCTGAAGTTCGCTCAGCGGTCTGGCATCTCCTGCATTCACTTTGGCTTCTCTACACGCGTGCGCGAGCTTCAAGTGTCTCCTGGCATCCATGTTGGTCGTTTCTTTCTTTCCTGTCTTTGAATGACCTTTTGCTTTCTTCCGGCATGGTGCTTGGTGTGACCCTGCAGCCGTCTGGTCTCCACTCAATAGTGTGCAAGGTGTCAAATCCCCTTTTGAGATGAGTGTAGTAGGCTGTATCTTGAGTCCATCTCTTTGGAGAGGTGAGAGGTTACACCAGCAAGTCATATGGAGTTCGCCCAGGAGTAGATGCTTGAGGAACGAAGCCCCTTCCCTCAGGGCTGACACAGAGAGAGGCTACACCTGGCCCCCTGAATGTGGACTTCTAGCCTCCTAAACTGAGAACAGGTGTTTGTCAAAGCCACCTGTGTTGGTGGCATTTCTATTTCAGCAGCCCCCGGATAACTCAGACGTAGGTTTTTTGGCAACAGAGCGTTTCTTTCGCTCCAGTTGTTGTGGACAGGTCTTCTGGGCTGGTGGCAGATTTCATTCCTAATAACTCTTCTCCAACTCAGGTCAGGTCACACCCGCTGCTTATCTCCAGTAGTGGGTGCCCGCTGCCCGTATCCTGGCCTTGTACTCCCAGCCCCTTCCCAGGAAATGACACTCTACATTCCAGGGCCCACCGTTTCCAGCTCCCCCTGGCACGCAGGGCTGTTGACCAGCACACACAGTCTAGAGAACAGGGGCTCTGCCTCCCAGAAATTAATGCACAGGACCTTCCAGCTGATGGACAAGCTCAGCCTGCCTGTTTGTTGATGTGCTTGCAGGGCTGGGGGTGAGCAGGGGGACCCTTCTTCAAGCAAACCTGAGCCACCAGCTTATTTAGACACAATTGGAAATTCTCTTGGTGAGCCGTGAATAATATAACTCATTGAGCAGCTAATTTGTCCTGACCTCTACCACTGCCCCACCCCCCGCTCACCTGCATCCTTTGTCCCTGTATCTTCCATACCTGGAACAGCCCTGCTTTCTCCGAAATTGCACCTGCACTTGGCTCCTTTCTCTTGTCACTGGCCCCCTGGCCCCCGTTTCCAGCCTTCACCAGCTCTTCCCTCAACTCATGCAGTGGCCTCCTGGCTGGCCCGCTGAACTCCCCAACCAAACCCACTGCCATCGTCGATGCTGACTCATAGCCACCCTACAGGACAGGGGGACCGACCCCGTGGGTTCCCGAGACTCTCTGTTTTTTCAAATCATTTTACTGGGGGCTCGTACAACTCTTATCACAATGCAGCCATCCATCCATTGTGTCAAGCACCTTTGTACATTTGTTGCCATCATCATTCTCAAAACATTTTCTTTCTACTGGAGCCCTTGGTATCAGCTTCTCATTTTTCCCCTCCCTCCCCCACTTTCTTCCTTCATGAACCCTTGATAATTTATAAATTATTATTTTTTCATGTCTTACACTGACCGATGTATCCCTTCACCCACTTTTCTGTTATCCACCCCTCTGGGAGGGGGTTATAGATATATTATTGTGATCAGTTCTCCCTACTATCTCCCCCCATCTTCCCCTTGCCCTCCTGGTATGGCTACTCTCAACAGTGGTCCTGAGGGGTTTGTCTCTCCTGAATTCCTTGTGTTTCCTGCTCTTATCTGTACCGGTGTACATGCTTTGGTCTAGCCAGATTTGTTAGGTAGAATTGGGGTCATGATAGTTGGGGGATGTAGCATTAAAGAACTGGAAGAAAGTTGTATGTTTCATCGTTGCTACACTGCACCCTGACTGGCTCATCTCCTCCCCACGACCCTTCTGTAAGGGGGTGTCCAGTTGCCTACAGATGGGCATTGAGTCTCCACTCCACACTCCCCCTCATTCATGATATGGTTTTTTGTTCTTTGATGCCTGATAACTGATCCCATCGACACCTCGTGATCACACAGGCTGGTGTGCTTCTTCCATGTGGGCTTTGTTGCTTCTGAGCTAGATGG